CCCAAAACCCCAAAACCCCAAAACCCCAAAACCCCATATAAGAAATAAAAATCACCTGAGATATAATTTAAGCAAAATGGAATTTGAAGAGCTCAAGTATGAGAACAAAGATGACCTGAATGAAATTGCTGATCCATCTGAGTTAGAGGATTTCCAAAAGGAATGTATCTACACACCACTTTCCTTAGTAAATCCGACTCCTTATGAACCTTCTAATGAAGACTACATTATGAGAGAGCATGATGGGAACGCAGACGAAGATTGGGACGAGAAAAATAATCTTGTGAATGATGTGCCTATTGAAAGAGACAGCTTGATAGGATTTGGAATACACAAAAGAAAGCCAAAGCTGCTTATTTGTATTACCATGTACAATGAGCCACCAAAGCAACTGGTAGAATCCCTCGCTGGAATTTATCGTTCATACTACGAATTGAGTAAGCGTTAATATCCTTGAACGTGCATATCAATCAAGGGATCAAAAATATTAGCTTTTTAGTGTTGGCAATAGCTTAGAATGATATCAAATAGTACAAGATACAACTTGATGGCATCTCCATTCGAATTGGTGAAAGTACAATTAGATGTACAAATGCATCAATCCTATTTCTTGTACTTAGGATCCAAATGTAACTGTTATATAAACAGATTGATGATAAAATCTTTCTAACCAAAAATAAAAAGTATCTGTGAAGGACTTCTTACTGGTACTGAATCAATGATATATACTACAATTCATGGTTAAGTATGCTATAAAGCTATTATTAATTCTAGAATTCCATTATCCACTCCACCATCATAACCTCCTTTTCCCCAATTTCCCTTCCACTTTGTTTAATAACCTCTAACCTAATCTCTAGTCGACCTTGATCCTACCTTTCTGAATCGTGTGCACATCGTCATTGTCTCTGATGGGTACGGCCCTCTTATGGAAAAGCCTGAACACCTAAAATGCTACGACAAGGCTAATATTCATGACATTAAGAAGCTCAGTGAGAAGAATTACACTACAAATGTCTTCAAAGCAGGCTTTGAGGACACAAAGACTGTATTCAACAGACTTCTCTTCATCAATTCAGAGAATATGATCAGTAGAGAGGACAAGCGTGGCCAGCAAGAGGAGGAATATAAGGATGAAGAAGAGAAGCTCGAAGCTAGGAGAAGAAGCTCCATGAAAGGAAATAGTGGACCTAAGAAGAAGTATAGAGATATTAGAGCTTATGGTGCTAATAATATTGGCCATTGTTTCTCAAGAGCAATGCATTTCCAAGACTGGGAGCAGTGCTTGCCAAGAGAGCAGAGGGATTTCCTTGTGGTTGATAATTATGAAATCTATGATTTCCTTGTCGGAAGTGATGAGCAAGGAAGAGTTAAAGATAGAAAATATGAACATTTCAGTCTTCCTATTCATTTTATTGTTAAGCATAACAATCAAGGTAAAATCGAGAGCCACAAGTGGTTCTTCAAAGGCTTCTGTAGAATGATGGATCCTATCTATGCACAGATTATTGATTGTGGATCTATCCCTCTCTGGAACTCTATCTCGAAGATCATCATGCACATGGAAACCTTCACTGATGTAGGAGGAGCATGTGGTGAAATTGAATGTATTCTAGCAGAAAAGAAAGAAGATGGAATCGAGCCTGTCACTTTTGTAGAAAGTGTTCTCTTACGTGCCCAATATGTAGAGTATAAGGTCTCTCATTATATGGACAAGGCAACAGAGTCATTATTTGGATTTGTCTCTGTGCTTCCAGGAGCATTTTCTACTTTCCGTTGGGAGTGCATCAATGGAAAACCTCTTTCAGAATTTCTAAAAGGATGTAAAGATGAATTTGGTGATGTTACAAAAATTATGCCTTGCGACACAGCCAATAAATACCTAGCTGAGGATCGTATAATGTGCCTTGAAATTATTGCAAAGGCTCATGCTTCATTTATCATCCATTATATTCCTGGTGCCAAATGTTTGACAGATCCTCCTCTCTCTCTAACTCAATTAGTGAAACAAAGAAGAAGATGGTTTAATGGATCCTTATTTGCTACTCTACATGTGATGAAATCGATGTATAGAATCTGGGCAAGAAAATGGACATCCTTCTTCAGAAATATCTTCTATATGATTCTCTACGCATATATGATCTTGCTTTTGATCCTTTCTTATTTAATTGTAGGTCTGTTCTACTCTGCTTTCAGTATTTTCATTAGAGCAGTTCTTGAATCAGACAACTGTCTCAATGTCGCCAGGCTGTCAAATATTCTTGAAAACGTTTACTTGATTTTCTTATTCTTCTGTCTCATGCTTTCTACTACAGTTCAAGTTAATTATGCAGAGACAGGATTCCGACTTTGATCCTTAGTAATGGGACTTTTCACTATAGTGATGATTTTCTGCTCTGTTTATTATGCTATTGATGACACTCAAAACAGAAATGCTGTGATCTTAATAGGTATTTTTATATTGTCATATATGGTGCCTCTTATACTTAACATTAGCCATCTAAAGTTGGCTGATTTCTTGAAGGGTATTTTCTATGCTCTTTATCTTAGTCCTACTTATGCTAATATTTTCACCATCTTTGCTATTTCTAATATTCATGATGTATCATGGGGATCAAGACCTGGAGGAGCCAGCAAAGATAAGAATATAGATGTAGCAATTAGAAAAGCAGCTGCTCAAAAAGAGGAAGCATACAAAGACTATCGAGCTAATTTTCTGATCGTTTGGCTCTGTGCTAATGCTGCTGTCGGAGGAATTGTGACATATTGGTCAAGAAATGGGCAAAATGATTTCCTGCTTTGGTTAGGAGTTCTTCTATCAGCTGTTGTTGCCTTCAAGCTTATATTATCTACAATTCATAAGTTAGTATCATACATGCACAACTTCTTTATATGGATTCATGTTAGAGGTCTTGCAAAAAGACTTAAGAATCAAAATATTGAATCTTTTCATAATCATGTCAGACATAAAGAAAAAGGTAAGCTTCATTTTGTCTATTCCCCCCTACATATCTTTCTCCACAGCTATGATCCAATTGATATCGTTAATATCAATTAGTTCTCATATTTGTCATTTATTAGCTATTTTCGGGTCCAATACCATCATTTATCTCTGAATACTCAAAACAGGATTCATTGCTCACCATTTTGCCATAGAAGATCATGAAATAGTGTTTGAAAAATTCAGAGACAAAAACGCGATTGACCAAGAAGAGGAAGAAGCTAACAAAAACAGATTGGATGAGAAAATTCTGAGTTTCCAAAACCTGCTTCAAAAGAGCATCGCTGCTGATAAGCTTGATATGGAACTTGATAGATTCAAACGTAGCGTGATTGCTTCACTCGGAGGAGGTGTTCAAACTCAACTAAATGAGAAAATCCAGGAGGTAAGTACTTCACCAATTTACAATTATAGATTGCTGCAAAGAGTAAGTTTATTCGGCCTTAGCATTATCTAATCCTATATAGAACAAGAAGAACAAGATAGCTATGGTAAGTTGATATCGATTTATATTGACCTAATCTCCCATGTAGATCCCCTCGATGATGAAGAAAGTGATGAAGAGCTAGACCCTAAGTCTAATAAAGTATCCAAAAATCTCACAAGTTTAGGATAAGAAGGGATTCTTAGGAAAGATACTTAGCAGAGACAAGAGCAAGGACTCTGAAGGTGGAAAGGAGAAGTTTGAAGAAATCCCCGAAGAGACTAATGAAGAGGAATCTAAAATGCTACCTGCCAATGACGACTCAGATGAATCACAGTCTTCTGTACGAGAAAATATTTATCATTTAGGTGGAAGTCAAGCCGAATGCTATGAAGAGAGATCAAGCTGAGGATAGTAGCGAAGAAGACCCTGTTTCCGACTCAAGCAATGGTAATTCTTGTTTGTTATCTCTAGAATTTGATTCTCGTCCAGGATCAGACAGTTTCTAAGTTGATGATATAAGGTCTCTGAGCGGAATAAAATGAACATTTTGAGGAAAAACTATTGAATTTAGTTTAAAATTGCCTAAAATTTTTCTTTCTGGTATTCAATTGTGAATTGGTGAAAAGGGGTTTTGGGGTTTTGGGGTTTTGGGGTTTTGGGG